TAATGTAGTTCTTGGAGGGATCAGGAGTAGAGTCCCTGGAGGTTTTAGGGTGTTGTCAGCTCTGAAGGGGCTGGAGGAGGATAAATGAGGGAGGCCAGTGGTGGTGTTGGGGGGGGCCCTCACCTGAGCTGACAGGAAGGGAGGAGATACTGGACATCTGAGGGGGAGAGGGCACAGGAAAAGAAGAGTACACTGTGGGGAAGGGGTGACTGCTGTAGATATTGGGAACAGGAGGACTGACCAATGGCTGGTGACAGGAGAGGAAGGACTGACCAATGGTTTGTGACATGAGAGAAAGGACTGACCAATGGTTGGTGACAGGAGAGGAAGGACTGACCAATGGTTTGTGACAGGAGAGGAAGGACTGACCAATGGTTTGTGACATGAGAGAAAGGACTGACCAATGGTTGGTGACAGGAGAGGAAGGACTGACCACTCGATGGTGAGGGTAAGGGTAGGAATAGCCAATAGTTGGTGACAGGAGGAGAAAGACTGACCAATGGTTGGTGACATAGAAGGAGGAACCAATGGTTGGTGACAGAGAAGGAGGAACCAATGGTTGGTGAATGGAGGTGGAGAACCTCACCAATCGTTGGTGAATGGAGGTGGAGAACCTCACCAATCGTTGGTGAATGGACAGAGAGGGCTGACCACTAGTTAGTGGTGGGAAGAGGAGGATTGATCAATGTTTGGTGATGGGAACAACCAATAGTTGGTGAATGCATGGGAGAACCTCACCAATGGTTGGTGAATAGTTATAGAGGGCTGAACAAGTAGTTGGTGATGGGAGGGGGAGGCCTGATCTGTGGTTGGTGATGGGACGGGGAGGACTGACCGGTGGTTGGTGATGGGACGGGGAGGACTGACCGGTGGTTGGTGATGGGACGGGGAGGACTGACCGGTGCTTGGTGATGGGACGGGGAGGACTGACCGGTGCTTGGTGATGGGACGGGGAGGACTGACCGGTGCTTGGTGATGGGACGGGGAGGACTGACCGGTGCTTGGTGATGGGACGGGGAGGACTGACCGGTGCTTGGTGATGGGACGGGGAGGACTGACCGGTGCTTGGTGATGGGACGGGGAGGACTGACCGGTG